TATATATATATATATATATATATAATATATATATATATATATATATAATATATTATATAGTAGTATATATATATATATATATATATATATATATTATATAGATATATATAGATATATATCGCTACATTCATACATAATCCTTACTATACACATACATCAGCTGAGGCTGTTTATACAGCCTGCTGGTATACACACTAATATTCGAAAACTGGAACCGGAAGAAGAGATACAAAGCTATGCACAGCAACTCATAAACATATTTGTATAGTAGGCGATAACATACCTTGTCGACTTTCGTGTCACACAAGGCTTTCACAAACCGTCGCACGATCTTATTGTGAGCATACTCATCGCTCGTAGGTGCTCGCGTAGTGCCTATTTTCTTCTTGAAAGCATTGTGTAGGTCCGAGTCTTCATTGTATGCCTGTCCAAATCCGATAAGTTCCTGCATGTTCGTGCTTGACCAGAACTTCAACCATTTTTCTTTGTCCTCAGGTTGCAAGCGGGAACCGTTCATTGTGGAGTGTGTAAGTGTGTACAAGAACTGTAGCGTTATTATTCTCGTGCTCGTGTGATATATATATATATAATTGTACAATTATTAATTCTTTTTATGTTTATTTACCCAAAACTAAACGATATAGTTCAGAATACTATTACACCTCTCTCTAGCTAAAGACACAACACAGCCTGTCCGTCCATATAAAGGTGCCACAGAAGGAACGCAGTACGCGCTTCTAAATATTTTTGAACCATGCACAAGACGTAGCCAAGGCGTAGCCAATACATAGTCAAGTATGTTTACTATCCTCGAACGTAATCAACAGCAGGCCACTAATATGGCTAATAATAATATCAAATTCACATAGCCAACTAGTATTGAGATAGTGCAAATGGTCGACGCGAAGCCAAGCTTATTTATCGACGCATACAGGCAAAGAAGAAAGTGTTGCGGTATTTGTATTTATTTATTTATATTGCTGGAAGTAAATGTTAGGACAGAGTGGACAGACTGATATATCGAATCATTTCAATGTCCTTGTCATCTTTTGAATTCAACTTGTTGATTCTCCACATAATAGATTTCTTCTGGGTAGGTACAGTACAGGTATATATACGTGTACGTGTAGGATTACTGCAGAGGCATACTTTCAGTCGGGACATAAATACACATTTGTACAACCATACAAAAACAACTTTGTATACAATCTCTCTCTCTAGTGGTAATACATATGCACATATCCATAACAACATGAATGCATTTTATACACGTGAGATATAATAGTAGTGTACCAATATCCCTAGCCTGCTGAAAATCGAACAATATCCCAATCACTTAACACTTACAGCTCTTAAATAGATGACGCGTTTATTACAGCCTCCCCTGTATTCGAATATTTCAACATATATTTTTAGTATTGTGTTTTTGTGTATGTTTTTATCGACCTTTTTTTTGGCGGCAATGCAATTGACACGTGTTTTCAAAACACAAATATTTACGTTGAAACTATAACCGTTTACGTTTATCACTTTATGTTCAAATCACAGCCTTCAATTTTCAGAAGGCTACGTTGAAACGTAGAAGCTTTATTTAAATATCGTTGAGGTGTATATATATCAGACGGGAATCTGTACTCCAGAAACGCAATTACAAGGCATACTTTGTAGACGAACATACACATGCAGTGTCTGCAGACTCTCGGGAAACACACACTCTGCAGAAATCGGCATTGCTTAGCTATATCAAGCGGCACTATTTCGTGTATATATAAAGGCAGTGGTGTGAAAGTACACTCTAGTATACGCAACCACGCTAGTAGGATATACAAACAGGCAAATACTCATACACGCACCGTATGCACAGGGGAATCACACCATACTATACACCACCGCGCTAGTATATACGAGCATACATACCTGCGCGCATACACACAGACACTCAAATCACAATCAATTGCGTACCAGTATCATTCATCACCTCCAAATCTATCCAAAAAGCGGTCTAAAATGGGAGCTCCACATCTGAAAAAAGGCAAAAAGGCCAAGAAACAAGTCCCCACCGAAGACTCAGGGGTAGACGAGAACGCCGCACGCCCAGGCACAGCGGATTATGTGTGCGGTGGTGACTTTGGAAAGTATTTCGAGGAGCAGTATGGCGAAGAGAGATGGGCTACCCTGAAGGAAGCACTTGTGCTGCCAGGTATACTAAGCCCCGTGTGAGACTAGTCTGCGAGTGTGTACACGCATATGTTCTTGTAGGTGATTATATTGTGGCGGTGACTTGGAGAGGCGTATTTGAGGAACAGTCTGGTTAAGAGAGACGGGATGATTTGAAGGAAATACTTTTACTGCAAGATACATTGAGCTCGGTGTTTAGGCTTGTATATGAGTGTTTGCTTATGTATCTGTGTATCTAACTCGTATTGTGGCGGTGACTTTGGACAACATTTCGAGGAAACTCTGGCGAAGCTAGATGGGCGACTTTGTAGGAAGCACTCAGGTATTACCGGATAAGTTTGATCCATATGGTTTTCTTATATGTGTATGTGCAGGGGTATGTGTGTTCGATCGGTATTGCAGGTGAGACTATTTGAAGAGCTATGAGGAACCTTATGGGGTGGATTGGGCCACTTTGAGCACTATTGTTACACAGACATGAAAGTGTGTATACAATTGTAAGTATAATATATATACATACATACATATATATATATATATATATACACACACAACACACACACACACAACAACACACACACACACACACACACACACACACACACA